CATTGGGTTGGGATGTTTTCGTGATGCACATTTTCTTTACATAAAACTCTCTCTTATACATGAGTTGCTGTGGTTTTGTTTCTCCAAAGTACCTAGACTAATACATATAGGGTGCAGTACAGCACTGATGAAACACATAACCATCTTCTAGTTCTTTAATATTTCCTCCCCTTACTATTATGTTCTTAGTTTTACCTCATTAATCTTGCTAGACCTGCCACATGCTCATTTGTATAACTAAGGTTGTTCAATGCATGAAATCCAAGATAAATACACCCTTCAGAAATAGTAACAGGAGTAATGATTCCCTGAGGGTACAGGAAGAGAGGGAGGGGAAGGGGGAAGGGGGAACTGAGCAATGATTACTGTATAACCCCACTCGGGAACGAATAACAGAATGTAGGTGAATAGATACACTGTATGATGTAAGATCCTGCAATAATAATATATCCTATAATAGTGGGGGCTCCTGGGGGGCATGCTGGGGGAGGGAGGGGATAAAAGGGAGCTGCTTTCAAAGAGTTCAAGAAGAAAATGTTTTGAAACTGATGGTGGTAGCAACTGTGCAATTATGCTTGATCTAATTGAATTATGGATTGTTATATTATCTGTAAGAGCTCCCAATAAAATGATTAAAAAAAAAAGAATGGATCTCAGCTATAACCACGCAGGCCCAACCCAGGTGCCCTCAGCCAGGGACCCAGTGTAGGCAAGGGGGCAGGAGGCAGGTCAGACAAGCACTGGCAGAAGGAAAGAAGGAGGGGAGGAGGAGAAAGAGAAGGGGACAGGAGAGGAGAAGAGTCTTCAAAGTGGCACTTTGAGTCCACTGGCTTGGGGAAAACGGACAATCTTGGATTTGTCATCCTGGATGGTCCCCTTAAGAAAGAAGGAGAAATACACAGATTTTTGCACAAGCAAAAGGTGGCCAGGTGCCCTGGAGCACGCTCCCCATGGGGAGTCTGAAGACAAAACAAGACAAAACAACAACAACCAAACTCACTGCCACTGCGTCCGTTCCAGCCTGGGCGATGCCCTAAGACAGGGTAGAGCCGCCCCTGTGCGTTTCTGAGCAGTCGCTCTTTGACGGGGTAGAGAGACTCATCTTTCTCCCACGGAGCGGCTCGTGGTTTCAAGCTGCTGGCCTTGCGGTTAGCAGCCTAGCATGTAACCACCACGCTGCCAGGGACTCTGACGGTGACTACATTTGTGAAGCCAAGGGTAGGCCAGGCAAGGGGCGAGGGTGGGAGAATTGGCAGCTGGTTGTTGGCTGACCAGCGAGGCCAGTGAGGCGTTCTAACCCTGGGTACACCCCGCTTCTCCTCCCGTCTTGGGGCGAGGCCAGCAGGCTTCCCTGTGCCCTTGTGGCTAGCACAATGAGAGGTCCACCTCCTGGTGGCCACTGGCTACTTGCATAACCAGTGACACTAAGAAAGCAATCTCTCGTCCAATCAGGGCCCCCCGCCTCTGGCCACTGCCCAACACCCCGTGGCAGCCGCACCTGGAAGAGCCTGGACTTCAGGGACAGGGAGCCGAGGCCTTCTCGGCAGCTCAGGTAGAAGGTGCCGGTAAAACTGGTGCCCCCAGGCCACGTATAGGTGCCCAGGCCATGGAGGTGGTCACGGTAGAAATGGCCCTGGTACATCTGCAGAGAAGGGCAGTCAGCCAGGCTTCACCTCAGAGAAGTTCCTCTCCCAGCCACCCCAGAGCGGGCAGGACAGAGATTAGCAAGGAACGGGGCCCTCTGTGGGGCTGGTTTCAAATTCCCGTGGCCAAGGTGACATGAGGCTTGGTCACCGGCTCACCCGGGGTGGGTGTCCTGTGGATCACTCCTGGCTGTCTGTTGTTCCCCACAGGACAGGCTGCAAAGACCAGCAGGAGCTCTTTGGCATAGTGGTGCAGCTCAGGTGCCAAACATCCTGGCTGCATTTGGACCCTGGCGCAAAGCCTGCACCACAGGCTGCACTGGGGGCAAGACAGCCCCTAGGGCACACTCAGCCCCAGGGTCTCTGGCACAACCCAGCACAGCCTGCCATCCCCCTGTCCCCCAGCTGGGCAGCCACCCTTGCATCTCCACACTCCTCTGTCCTAGACTCTGTCTATCTCAGGTTCCTGGCCATCTTGACAACACGTACCCAGCTGCCTGCAGCTTAGGACAAGAACCAGGCTGCACCCACCGCTTCCTCAGCCAGCACCCACGGACCCCAGGCCAACAACCCACGGACCTAGGCCAGCACCCGCAACTTCCAGGAGTTTGTCTTGTAGCCACTCCAACCCATAGTCTGATGTTTTCATTTCATTGAGCTAAGGACTGAGCCCCACAAGGGGCCAGGCACCTGTCCCAGGAAGTCCCACTGGGCTGGGCACTGGCCCTAGGAACCCCCATGGGGAACTCCCCGCTTCACTGGGGCAGGCTCTTCCCCAGAGAGAACCCCACTGGGTCGAGCACCTGCCCCGGGGATAATCCCCCACCCACTGGGCCCAGGGAGGTGTGGAAACGGCCAGCACTGACCTCCCCAGTGGGCCAGGAGAACTCGCCAAAGCCCAGCTTGGTTTGCAGGCCGAACTGGCCTCGGTAGACACAGCCATCCCTCCACTCCTGCTGGCCCTGCACCAGCTGCACCCGAGCCTCTCCCAGGTCCTGCTCCTGCAGGGGCCCCTCGGACTCCTCATCTTCCATGCCCAGGGCCGCCTCCAGGTCCCTGGGGAGGCAGGCAGGGGGTACAGTGATGAGTGGTGGCCCAGTGCCGCCCCACCTCCCACACCTCCTCCTCTTCTCACCACTCAGGGGGCGTGGGCTGTGGCTGTCAGCATGCCACAGAGAGGGAAACTGAGGCACCAAGGGTGTGGTGCATCCCCGGAGGTGGTAGTACAGTGAAGGCAAACTCTGTCCGTTTGTTTGCCCAGGTGAGTGGCTGCCAGGCCATGGAGGCCAAACCCTCTGTCCACATGGACTCGTGTCAGTGCCGGGGACCCCCTGGCCCCTCTCCCTCCAGCCTGGCCCCACGCCCCTGGCCCTTCTCTCCCAAGATGCTGCTGCACCCCAGGCCGACAGGAGCAGACCCTGGGGACATGGGCTGAGAAAGGTCTAAGCCAGAGTAGAACCTTCTAGGCCAAGGGAGGATCTGTGAGCAACTTAAGGGGCAGTGACTGAACAAGCAAGGTGGGCAGAGGGACTTAAGGATTCAGGGACAGGAGAAGCTCAGACCCTGGTGGCTTGCTCTTATATGAAAGGTGCCCATTAAGTTTCGGGGAGAAGGCAGAACCCTACCCCCCACCGGAACCTCAGTAACAGCAGCGTTCCAGCAGCTCACCTTGGGGTGAAGGAGGAGGGGTCCCTCGGGCTCCCCGGGGCCTCGGCAGCGGCGGGCTCACTGCCCCTCTCCACCAGGGGCGCACGGGAGCTGCGAGACCCCGACGCCTCCAGGCCCAAGGCCGAACCTGAGCCAGAAAGTGCCATGGCGCGCTCCTTCCCACCTGCAAGCAAAGCGGGGAGGGCGCGTGTCCTCAGGTGGCGCACGTGGGCGCCGGCGACGCGCTCCAGCCCTGTGATGCCAGGAAGCGAAGCCCCCTCCCTGGAACCGCAGCCCACCACGCTCCACCCGAGTCAAACGCCACCCAGGGCGTGGCATCCCTGAGCTAACCTGCGCGCCGCTCAAAGGTGACCCTGTCCCTGGGATGGGGCCGCCCTCCGTTTCAGGCCACGCGACAGGGGTCACGATAGGGGGTGGGGCGGACTGCGGGATCTCCAGTCCCCTGAGTGCTCGCGAACACGCAGCAAGGAAGTGGGGCCAAGCAGCGCGCATCCCCCAGCCCACCCGTGGGGTTGGGGTCCCTAATGCCTCCCTGGATCCCACTGGCCCTCAGGGACCGGCGGAGCTCGGGGACCCCAGACCCGCGGTCTGGGTGCCTCACCGAGTCTCGCTGCCCTTGCCTCAGGAACCAAGCGCACCGGGGCGCACAGCCAACAGTGAGCCCACCACGCCCACCAAGACGACTCACTCCCCCAGCAGCCAGCTTCCGGGACCGCGTCGGGTTGCCCTGGAGACGCCCACGTGAGCAGCCGCGCCAATCCCCGCCAGGCCGTGAAGGTACGGCCCCGCCCACCACCCTCTGTGAGCTCACGTGTCGACATCACCCGACCCCTCCCTAGTCGCACGCCTTCAGATCCCCGAGACCTACACAGGCTCTGGCACTCTGCACACTCACTGCACCCGTGCGCCCAGGGAAACAGGCACAAAGTGTCCCCGTGCCCCCGGTCACACCCAACCCCGAGGAGCAGAGCGGAGCCCAGGTGGCTTAGTGGGACCTGTGTTTGCCTGTCAGCCACAAGGTCGGCCTTGAAACAAGGGCTCTCATTGCTGATGCCACATGGATCTTGCCTGCACGCGCAGCATTCCAGAAAGATGTCTACTTGTGAGTTATTGACCGTGCAAAGGCATTCCACCCTGTGGATCATAACACAATCTGGATAATGTTGTGGAAAATGGGAACCCCAAAACATTTCACTGTGCTCCTCTAGAACCTCATTTGAACGAACCAGAGAAAACTATGCGACTTAAAATTCAAATGACAGGCATCATGGAAAATGGTCCAAGAAGCTGGACCAGCTGAAGAAGAATGTGGTGTCAGGACCAGAGGAAGCTGTGTGTGCTATCAGTGATATTGTGCTATAATTTGAGCATTCTGTTGTGTCAACTGTCTTTGTAACGGACGTAAATATGGGTTGTTCCCAGTCGGTTGGCCAAGTAGCTGTCTTGTACTGTCTACCAATAAAACAAACAAATCTGTCTCGGAAGAAGCCCAGCCAGGGCGCTCCTTAGAAAGTGGGATGGCGAGATGTTGTCTCACACCCTTGGGGCAAGTTTATCAGGACAGACCGTTCCATGCTTGGTAAAGTAGATCGTGCAAAAGAGGAAGAATCTCAAGGAGACAGATGGCCAGAGTGGCTGCAACACCAGGCTCAAACAGGGATGGGGAGGAAGGCACGAGGCCAGGAAGTGTTGTGCTCGTGGTACTGTATTCGCTATGTCTGACTACGAATATCCCCTCAGCTTTCCAAAAAGTGAAAGAAGAAAACAATCTTAAAAAATATTTTTACCAAGGATGAGGGCCACAAATGTACAAATGTGCTCGACACAATGGATGTATGTATAGACTATGATAATAGTTGTATAAGGCCCCAGTAAAATGATTAAAAAGCAAATAAATAAAATAAAAGCAATATTTTTACCTCCTGCCATCAACTCAACTCTAACTCACAGTGACCCTAAAAGACCGAGGAGGGCTGTCCCTCTGGGTTTCTGAGGCTGTCAATCTTTTAGGGAGCAGACAGCCTCATCTTTCTCCTACGGACCAGCTAGTGGATTTGAGCAACTGAGCCTGAGATTAGTTGCCCAACCCATAACCACCAGGCCTCCAGGGTCCCTAAAACATACAAAGCATATATTCAAAAATGTTTTCACTTAAAAATCAGGTTACTATCATTGGAAATGTCTAAGAAGAATATTTTAAGAGTTTTCGGGGAGTTGGTAAACTTGATGGTGAATAGGAAAGAGTTCTGTTTCAGATGAACGGTGCTGACCATGGTGGTCCACTGGGGTAAGCACTGGGCTGCTAACCACGATGCCGGCAGTTAATCCCACCAGTCGCTCCCAGGGAGAAAAACGAGGCCGTCTGCACCTGTAAAGATCCATGGCCCTGGAAACCCACAGGGGCTGCCCTGCCTGTCCTGGAGGGCAGCCCCGCGCTGGAATGGGCGCGCGTGGGCAGTGGGTAGGCGGAAAATAAGGCGCGGAGACGTGGCACAAAGGTTGGTTTTACTCTTAAGCAGGTAACAAACATGGCAGGGAAGCAGTAGTGAAAGGCACCCTGGCCAGCACTGCAGGCCGATGAGTGACCACAGCCAGCTTGGGAGGCGTGGTCAGCTGCAGTGGAACCAGCCTCGAATCAAACACGACAACGATGGATGGACGGATGGATGGACACGCTGCTCGTCCTGCGCATGCGCAAGCACGACCGCACACGGAGACTGCAGTGCACAGGGCTCACTGCCTTTCCAAGCCTTTCTTCCCGATCCGTCACCCCAGCCACACACAGGCCACAGACCCAGGGAGGTGCACGCTCCCAGCAGGGAGCAAGGCCCGGGTGTCCTGCGTGGAAGGCGAGAGTTCTACCATGAGCTGCCACTGCCTCACCAAGTCATTAAAACCAGACCCCCACACCCACCGCTCCAGCTCGTACACACACACACACACACACACACACACACACGGCAACCATACACGCATACCTGTGGTCCCCAAGACTGGACATGAATACAGGGGTATGTGGCATCTTTTGCCTGGCCAGAGGCCCGGGGGACTGAACTGTGGACTTTGAGGTTAGCAGCGCAGGGCTTAACTGACGGAGCCACCAAGCTACCTATAGCATACAAAACCTGCAGGTCTCTCGCTTCCTTTTCGGGGGATGGGGGTAGGGGAGGGTCTCTTTTCAGTTTGTTGTGGAAGAAAAATGGTACTTTCCACTTTTTTTTGTTCATAAGGATCTATTGATCTTTTTTTTTTTCTTTTCTTATTTATTTATTTATTTATTTTTTAACATTTTATTAGGGGCTCATACAACTGTTATCGCAATCCATACACACATCAATTGTGTAAAGCGCATTTGTACATCATGCTCAAAACATTTTCTCTCCACCTAAACCCCTGACATTAGGTCCTCATTTTTCCCCTCCCTCCCCGCTCCCCCCTCCCTCATGAGCCCTTGATAGTTTATATATTGGTATTTTGTCATATCTTGCCCTGACTTTCCACTCTTATAGTTTCCGTCTTGGAAACTCACAGGGTGGCTATGAGTCGCCACCAACTGGACAGTGGTGAGTTATTTTTCCTTCTCAGTTCACACCAAGAGGGAGTTACACTAGCCCAGGTTAAAAGTAAACCCCAAATGGTTACATTATATAAGAGAAAGACACAAGATATTGAGATACATAGAAACCTGTATGAAACAAAAAATATCGAAAGATGAAGCTACTGTTTCTTGACACATCTTGTATTTAGGTTTATCCCAACCCCATTCCCCCCCCCAAAAAAAACAAAACAAATTCTGACTCACGACGACCCTTTAGGGCAGGGTAGGACTGCCCCTGTGAGTTCCTGAGACTGTAACTCTTCACAGGAGCAGAAAGCCGCCTCTTTCTCTCAAGGAACAGCTGGTGCTTTTGAACTGCTGACCTTGGGGTGAGCGGGAAGATAGGTAACCACTTCTCCACCAGGGCTCCTATTTAGGTAGATACACTGTTTCTTTTTTCAGGTCTGCACGCTTCTGAAGGGGCTGTTTCGCCCTCTCTAACCCTTCCCCGGAGAAGTCTCTCTCTCTCTGACTTTACACCAAGTCAACACCGCAGCCCTGCATCCTTGACAGGCGTGCAGAACGTTCATTTTTAATGTTCTGACTCATTCCATAAAATCGTCTTCAGCTTTGCTCTGACTTAAAAGACTGATGGAGAGCCCAGGTCCCTGAACTCTCCCACCATGCATTTGGCCCTCCTTGTGCCCAAAGCTGACATCAGGCTCTGTGTGGCCCCAGCTGCCAGGGCGGAGACACAAGCCAAGCCTGCAGCCCTCCTCCGCCAGTCTCTACCTTGTTGAGGTTGAAGGTCTTGCTTCTTTGACTCACCTGGAGGTGAGTCCTCGGGACTCTCCCTGGAATGCTTGATCCATTTAGAGACTGTTTTGAGGGAAGGCAGCACCCCTCTAAGCTTGCGGCGAAGTTTTAATGATTTGGGGAGATGCCCACTTGAGTCTTGTTAAAAATTTGATATTAGCTCTGACCTTTTTTTTTTTGGTCACGACACTAAAAAACATCCTTGTTTTGAAGGCACCATCACACTAAGACATATGGGTTCCTGTAGGGACTTATCTGCAGCCACTCACCGGCTGCATGTATTAATGTCAGTGCAGGGACTGTTCTTTGACTTACCCTGTACAAGTGGTGAGGTTTCAAGCTTGTGACAAGGGATGAAGGGAATGTTTCCACTCATTGCAAGGAAATCCTCACTTCGGCTTCAGGGAGCCACAAGCACTTAAACCCCACGAACTGGTCGTCCTTGGTCAGTCCAATTCTACACACCAAGCCAAACGCACTGCCATCAGCCCATGTCGACTCACGACGACCTCACAGGACAGGGCAGAACTGCCCTATGAGTGTCCGAGGCTGTGGCTCTTTCCGGGAGTAGAAAGCCTCGTCTTCCTCCTTCAGATCAGCTGGTAGTTTTAACTGGTGACCTCGTGGTTAGGAGCCCACCAGTGTACCCTGCTACACCCGCAGGGCTCCAATGTCTGCAAGAGACTGGCCTATGTGCTTGCACTGGTCACCGTAGCGGGACCACTTCTCCATACTCTGCATGCTCAGCTCAACCACAGAACCAATTCAGGCACATTTCTTCTTAAAGGCCTTCACTCGTTTCTTTTTGTTAGAATCATCAGCGATCGCTGGGGCAGTATTAGGGTCTTCCGGTCATCTCTCTGTTGAATTATTATATGGATATAACTCTCGGTCCCTGCAGGAAGCAGGTCGCCCACACTGCCACAGCAAAGGAAGACTTCGGGTTCTGGGTAACGGGCCTCTGATTTCTTTTCCTCGTGGCCTGGGGAAGGCGGCGGGGGAAGTGGGTACAAACGCCATAAATTCTCGGATTGACTCAGTAACTGAGGTCCAGCAGCCAACCCTGTATGACGGACTGGCTAGCGACAAAGGGGCAGTCTTTGGGCCGCCTTTACAAAGTGATGTGGAGGGTGCCAGTCACCGTCTGGGTTAGGGGTGCACCCGGGTCCCGCCCATTCCTCGGTGGCCAATCCAAAGGTACTGGAGGCCTCAGCCCAGCCAATGGCTTGCCCGCCCCAAGCGCAACCACTCAGATGAGCGGCAGCTCTCCCACGGG